CACTTAAGTCTGAGAGTAGGAGCAAATCTAAGCCATTTTCAGCACTTAAGTCTAAAAATCCACTAAGAAGTTTTATAAATACGGGCCCAGGATGATCCAGGTATCAAAATGTAGCTTTTAAAGCCAGGAATCTGAAAATATAATTCAGTCATTTTAACCAAATTTGACTTATTCCTCATTTTGATATGATGAGTCACATATATTATTAGTAAAGCAGTGACAATAAATGCAGATCTTTAAAAAAAAAGCTGAATAACCTGTGTTGAAGCTTGTAATGAGTGGTTTCGGTTTTGTGCAATTTAATATAAAGACTTGACTTTTTGCTGTGGGTTGTCCTGCCTGTTAACAGTTTAATCATRTTTGTAGTTGTTCCACAGGTTGGTTTTTCAGTTCCATGTTTTTACATGATGACCTGTCTGCTATGAAAGTTTCTCAGTGGCCTGTTTTATTTTTTATTTGTTCTCTTCAATAAAGAAACTTGTTGCTATGTAAAAATTCTTATTGTTCCTTTGTAGTGTGTTTACATGGTCATTTAAAGCCATAAAAGTTAACTGGCACTCATCACACTGCTCTCATTATCTAATAGAATGTGGGGGCATGGTTCTCATAAACTGTTCAGGCTCACTTATCAGTACATCAGGAGGAAAACACTGACAGTAAGACATTAACTTGAGGTGTAAATGATTGCATGAATCACAGTGCCATGTTAGGGCAGGCACTTGTTAAGCTTTGATGCAGACTTTGATCAGAAGCTGCTGGAGTGTACAGTTTGGGTGTGAGGAGTCATAAGATCCCTGACTGTCTGCTGAACGACACTCAGGTGAGCTCTCAGGAATGACTCCAGTTGATTGAAACCTGTTCATCTCTGCTGTGGTTTTGTGTCGTGAGGACCGGGGATGATGGCAGCACCGCAGACGTCACTGCTTGCCGCCGGGCTTCTCATCACGTTCCTCTGTGGCTCGTCTTCCTCGCTGCCCTGTCCTCAGTCCTGCGCCTGTCCAACAGCCCAGCTGCTGAACTGCTCCTCATCTGGCCTGTCCTGGGTGCCGCGGCTCCCCCAGGACTCTGTCTCAGAACTGGACTTGTCTCATAACCTCCTGGGCTCTGTGACACTCCACCAGCCACAGCAGAGCCTGAAGAACGTGTGGCTGGGAGACAACGCCWTCACGTATTTGTCTCTCTGCGTGGACAGAAACCCCACGGACCGATTTCYCAGACGTCGAACTGGGAGCAGAGAGAGATGCCAAACGTGGGCCCCCGCCCTGCAGCTGCTATCTGCTGAGAGGAATCTGCTGGAGCAGCTGCCTACAGGTGAGTCAGAGTCATAAAGGTAGATACGTTAAACACTGTTATCAACTTAATCAGGGCAAGTTTATGATCTGAAGAGGTAGTTACAGCTGGGCTCCACCAGGTGGAGCTGCTGCCTCTTTATTTACCTGTTTCACTACAAGCTTAATGTTAAAAAAAAACTGCATGTATTTTTCCTCACCCAGGAGACATTTCAATATAACAAATCAACTCACTTTTTTAAACAAACCCCTTGATATTGTCACTACCTACAAATATCTTGGAATTATTTTGGATTCTCATTTGACTTATTGTCATAATGTACATGTCTTAACCATTAAGTTGAAACAGAAATCATGTTTATTCAAAAATTAGATCCAATCTGACATCTTC